CTTTTGTCGACCCTCCACCTTACCAAGCATGACATTCTTCTCCAGGGAATGGTCCCTTCTAACAACATGACCAAAGTAGGTGAGACGAAGTCTGGCCATTCTTGATTTCAAAGAGCATTCCGGCTGCACTTCCTCCAGGACAGATTTGTTAGTTCTTTTAGCATTTTTCGCCAGCAGCACAACTCAAAAGCATCAATTCTTTTTCAGTCTTCCTATTCATTGTCTAGCTCTCACATGCATATGAGGCGACTGAAAACATCATGGCTTGCACCAGGCACACCTTAGTTTTCTCAGTGCAATCTGTCATTTGATTTCTTGATTGCTGCTTCCCTGGGTGTTACCTATGGATCTAAGTAAAATGAAATCCTTGACAATATCAATCTGTTCTCCATTTATCATGATGTTACTATGAGTCCAGTTGTGAGGATTTTTATGTTGAGATGTAATCCATACTGAAGTCTATAGTCTTTGATCTTTATCAGCAAGTGCTTTAAGTCTTCATGTTCAGCAAGCAAGATTGTGTCATTTGCATACCACAGGTGGGTTTTTTTTTTTTTTTTTGCTTTGGGCCAGAGTCTCTGGGGGTTCCACCAGTCTTCATCATATCAGCAAGCTTCATCTTTTTTTATTTATTTTTTAATGATTTTGAGTTTTGTTCCACATTTCCCCCCACTGTATCCAGGACCTCTTACTGTGATCACTTTCAGAGCAGTCACCAGTGGTGGCCGGGCACCATCTACTTCCAGTCTGAGTCATGGAGGCTGGGGCTCATATGCTCCAGTCCTTTGGACTGTTTCCTTGCGTCTTTGATTGTCTTCACTCTTCTTTGCTCTGGATGAGGAGAGAACAATAGTTGCATTTAAGATGGCTGCTCACAAGCTTTTAAGACTCTAGTCACTACTCACTAAAGTGGGATGCAGAACATTATATTTGTGGACTATGTTATGCTCATGGACCTTAGTGTCCCCCAAGACTATGGTCCTGACAATTGGCATAACATACTATACAAAACATTGATCCACCTCCTACTTTGGCGAGTAGCGACTGGGATCTTAAAAGCTAGCAAGCTGCCATCCAGATGCAACAATGGGTC